TTATATATATATATTTGTATATCAAATGAAATGTTAATATAAAATTTTTATTTAATTTTTAATGTTTTTAAATTTAACATGAATTTTTCTGTACTTTCAGAAAGTAAATACATCCGAATTAGGAGAAGTTGTTATCTTGTATGTTGATATTAATAAAGTTGAAACATGTTTTAATGATCTTGAAAGCCTTCCTTCAGAAATTGTAAGCATTTTATTTAATAAATAGCATATTTTATTATAGTTAATTCTAAACAGATCTTTTGAGACTTTAATAAAATAAGATCACGGCTAACAAATATAAATAATAGCTCTTTATTTTTTTTAACTTCTTAAAATACTTTATTTAATGAAAATAAACATGAAAAAACAAGTATGGTCTCCTGCCTTAATGTTTTTATTTATTAGTTTTTTTAAATCAAAATAATTATTAGAATTTATACAAATTAACCATTAACTGTAATTCCTGTTTTTATTTTTGTACAAATTTAGTGTATTTTGATGAGTTTGGCTCATTAAATATACTAAATAAACAAATCATATAACTTTTACAGTAATTTAAGCAGTCATCGCTATGTAATGGTCAGTTTTAGAAAGTACTAATTTTTCTCCAATGAAAACCTTTGGCAACTGTTCAAAATGGCCAGCAGTCTGAAATTCATAGCACATTTCTTATAATATAAAGAGCAAATTTTATTATTTCTAAAATATTGAAAGACTGGATAATCAGTGTACATCAATGGTTTCAACCGGCTGTACCTATTTCACATATCTGTATATAAGAATTTACTATTAAATTTTAATTTTTAGTAGCGAGTTTTTATTAATTTCAAAAGAAATGTAATATATTTTAAAGATATCAATATAAATAAAATCTGTTTTTGATTGTTGATGCACATTCCTTCCATACACTATTTATAGAAATTAATTTATAGTCCTGGAAAACGTTTGAAACTACCTGAATTTTCAAAGTTTCCAATAAAATTAACTGATTTCCTGTAAATATCTTGTTGTTTAGGTATTAAAATAAACCAAATATTATTAAATAAAAATTTATTTCCATATTTAAGAAATTCATATATAACAAATTATTGCTTGCAATTTGCCTGGAAAAAAGTTTGAGACCATGATCAAAAAAAGCATCACAAAAATAAAAATTAGTGGGAAAAACAATGTTTAATATTTAGTTTGTTTACCATTAACCTGAATAACATCAAGCTGCCTACATCATCACAGATTATTATTTATAGTATTAGAAGATCATGCTGTTGTAAGTAAAACAGGACATGTTTCAAAAACAAAAAAAAAATTATTTTTATTTATAAGAATATGCTTTTATATATGCATAAATATGATATAAGCTCCTTCAGTAATGGTCCTTGGAGTTTCTAAAAAGAGCATAGATGATGGAGTTCCTTCTGCAAGCTAGAGAAACATTGTTGCTATCTGCTGTTTCATAGAATATATCCATCAGAATCTTGTTATAACTCAGTCTTGAATACAACTAGAGACTGTGAGGTATAAAAAAAATCCCAATGGGTATATTCTGTGAAATAACAGGTACCAACCTTTCCGTAAATAATATTAAAATATAAAAATTTCAAACCAACTTCTGTTATTATTTCAGAGCTTTTATTTACTCACATTTTTATGCATCAAATTTAACATTTTTACCTTTTTGACTCATGACGTCATCATTGGCAAGTCAGTTTGTGACTCACTGAAATTTGACATTGTAACTATCAATACTAACTGCAAGAGTATGGGATTAAGAATGCCAGTACTTTATGACATAGTGGCCAACAAGTTTTCGTGTTGCCCTCCATTGGGTAAAGGCTAAGATGTGTGCCACTTGAACAAGTGTAGGCTTACCAGATTAACTCTGCAAAGTCATAACCTTTTTGACAGTTAGGCAGGCTCAAAGGGCATGAGTCTTATCTGGGCTGCCAACTGGCCATGTTAAATTTTAGGTGATAAATGGCAAGCTTAGGTGTACACAAATTTTTTTATGCCCAGAGCAACTGTGTGGAAATTTTCACTTTTTAAAAAAAAAAAAAATTGCAAAAATTTAAATATATAAATGTGAGAATTTAGCCAAAAATTTAGTGCAAAATAGGCGTGAAAGAAGACATTTTTGCATGCAAAACAAATTAATACAGTAAAAATTTTTTTAATGGTGAAGTATATTGAATTCTATTATTTCAAAGCACTTAAATAAGTCTAATTATTTTAAATATTAGAAAAAGTTAAGCAAAGAAGTAACAATTAAAATAAATTAGTAATTCTTTGTAAAGTTTAAGTGAAAAAAGAAAAATTAATGCTCACACAGTTTATTTACAGTCGACCCCCGTATAAGATCATTGATTATTCCGTTTTATATGAATTCCATGTTGTACAAGTCACTTAAATTTTACAAGTATGTGAGCCATTCACAGCCCGGTACACGTATTTGTAAAATCTAAGTGACTCGTACAACATGGAATTCATATAAAACAGAATAATCAATGATCTTATACGGGGGTCGACTGTATAGTATGTATTTCTGTATGTTAATTATAGGATTTGAATGCAAGTCAACTTTCAAACAGATATATTATATTAAGATATGTCTAGTTAGTAACCATTCTGACATTTCCATCTATCTCAACCAAATCATAGTAGGCAGTATGATCCAAAGATCTAAGCATGATATTTGGATTTTTCTATGCCGTTTTATGCAAATTATTACCAAGTTCTGTTCCATGCTTTTGAAGATGACACAGTCTGAAAAGGAAATGTTTGCAAAGAGTTGTTTTACACTTTTACACAGAAGTTGCAAAATGTGATGTTATGCACTTTCCAACACTTTATAAACAAGCTTGGTCAAGCTGATATGATACAAAAGCAAATCAAATATTAATTTTGTTTAAAATAAATTTTATAAATTCTTGAAATCAAGTAGTTATTCAGAAGAATTTTTCATTGAATATACAGTAAGGGATGTGGTTTATAGTGTGAGAATCGGGATTTTATTAGTTAATTAGTGTGGGAAATATATTTAGTTTTTTTAAATTGTTTACCAAAAAGGAAGACACATTCGACACTTTTTATGAAAAAAGGAAATCAACTTCCCTTCCCACAAGACCTTATCTACAATTTTGACAGCCATCTGGCTGGCTAACCCCCTTTGAATGCCTCACTCATCCCATCAGAGAACTAGAATCAAGGATTGCTATTGGTCAAAGTACGATAAAAAGGGCGATTTTCCTGCCATTCAGGGCAGTCTACGAAAGAAGAGATATGCCATACAGACAGCAGTCATTCAAAGAATAGATTGCCATATGAGACGCAGTCAATAGAAATCCGACATTGCCACATAGACGACAGACAGTTTTCCATAATATGAAGAAGCCATAGAAGACGGCCTTAAGCACAGAAAGTTCTTGTCTAAAGATTTAACTTTGTGTGCTACCAAATAAGAAGATTGTTCCCACTTCGCTCATCATCCTCCTCCTTACTTCCATTGCCCACTCACTTACTTCATTGCTTCGTCATCAATCTGAAGATATAGCTCAAGATCTACAGTTGAGGTAGTGCATCTTGATATTTGTAATCTCTCTCTCTTGAAGGTTTAATAGTATACTTTTGGAATAGTAATATACTCTCAGTTTAGCAATATATTCAAGGTCTAAAAGTGTAACTTTAGTTAAGATTCATTATGTTCAATTGTATTTATATGGGAATAGTGTAACGCATTGAATTATTTTATTTAGTAAACCTTTATTTGTTGGTTAACCAGTTGACTTTTTTTATTATTAAGTCATACAATTTCTCATGCTACAACTTGGACTTACCTGCAGCTCTCCCCATTCATCAACATATCAGCCCACCTAATTAAACAATAACTTAAATGCGTGATAGGGTGTGAATGCTTACCCTATCTGGTGTTGGAAATCCTGACTGTAGATCGGGATCTTACAATCTTTGATCTCAAACATCCTTTTAAGTCATCCAAAGACAATGTGGGCAAGTTTAACAAACTCATTGCCAAGTAAGTGATAGAGATGACATTAAATCTACTTCTGGTTCCTCACAATAGATTCCAGAGGAACCGCATAGATTTTACTATAGCTTACAGTGACTATAAATGAAAACATTCAGTTTCCTTTTGCACATGTTCATGGACATGCACAATGAATGGATTGAATGGAGCATGCACGTGCACATCTGACAGACATAAAAGTCCTAACATAAGCACTTCACCACTATAGTGGAGTATGCTAAAAAGGGAAGGCAAAATCAACTACTTATGACATCATTTGAAGGTATGACAAAGCTAATAGAGTGTAAAAAAATTCAAGGTCTTCCACATAGAAGATCAACTCCAAAAGTGGTGAAACAATTTAAGAAGCTTTATCAGAAAGTACCATCCATTTTTGTCCACACTGCTTCCAGTAGGCTTCATATTCCATGGACAACTTTGCATGATATCAAGACTAAGGTCTTAGAGATCAAGTCATCAAGTATAAAACTCAAAAATATTTGAAAGATTAAGCAAAATGAGCCAAAAGTGGATGTTGGTATATTATAATGAGAGAAATAAAGATGAAGTGAAATATGAAGACAGTTCAACCAAGGGTTAAATTTATGAAGAAATTTATGATCTGGCAAGCAATAATGATTTGGGAAACATTTCAGAACCATTCATAACAGAAGGCATACTTAACTCAAAGATCTATCTGGATGAATGTTTGAAGAAAGGGCTGTTTTCCTTTAAACTTCATCATCATAAAGTTCAAGACATTATGCAAAAATATGTAGTAGCTACTTACAGGCAAACAATGTTGAATATGTGACCAAGAAGAATAATGTTCCTCAAGACAGAGGAATCGAGATTTTGGGCATTATGCAAAAGAAGATATACTCTGCTTTAAATTCAGCATCCAAAGAAATAGATTTTGATGTGCTTGGAAAAACATAAGCCAGAAAGTGGCACTGGAGTCAGGAAGTAATGTAATGAAAAGTGGTAAGAGTGCTTTGAAAAATTGATTATGATGGAGTGTCAGGTGCTAACTAATATGTATAAACATTGTGTGAGACTTGTTCTATACATGCTGTTCAATATATGAAATAAAAATGTTAAATAAATTGAAAATGTTATAAATAAAAGTCATACTGGTTACTATAATATGCTTCTTGTCTAGCTGTTGTATATACTTGTGAGCAATATGTTGGCCTCTTTATTCCTAGACTTATTACATCATCAGTGAACACAAGATCAGCCTTAGAAAATCAATTTATTTTCCCAAAAAAGGTCTTTTTTTCTTTTTTTGGGGGTGAAATAAACTGATTTTCTGAACTTCTACAGATTTGGTTTGTTGAAGGAAGGCTTGGAAAACAGATTTTAACCTGTTGATGGACTCTGGAATGTTTGTCATTGTTGATCAGTATCTCTATGCCACAGCTAACACAGAGTCTTCTACAATGGAAACAGGTGCAGAGCCATTGTTCAGTCATGTGGGAGGCAGATAACAGTGCAGTTGATGGTGATATCTAAGATTCTATTAATTATAAAAGGTACTCAAAATTGACTTATGATCAATTTCCTATATAACTTTTAATAAAACAATTTTTTATCTTCATCTATTCAGAACAACAACAAAGTTTTTTAATTGGAAAAGAGTAGTTTGATTAGGCAAATTGAAAAGTTCAAAATTTAATATTATAACAGTACAGTGAAACCGCACTTAACAAGCACCTCTCATAACGAGTAATTCACATAATGAGCAAAATAAATTGTAAAAAATTGCCTCACATAACGAGTGACAAGGAGAGGGGAAGTCCCGGATTGTGTGCATGCTACATCAGTCTGTGTTTAGCACTTGTTCTGCTAGCATGTTAGTATTGCTTGCATTCACACATAATACATATAAACATCTACAACCATAGCCCATTATATAATAAATATGCCAAACAATATGGCTAAACAATATGCCAAATTCTTGGGCTATGCAAAGGCTATAATTAAATATTAGAGATTACTGTATTTTGATTTTTTTTCTTTTTTGCAAACTGAATTTGCATTCCAGATTGGTTCATTCTGTGCTAGAAGAAAAGATGATGATGATTCATGTGCCTTAACAATGTATATTATATAATTTTCTTTGAATAAATGTTATATGTAAAATATTTGAGTATTTTTTCAACATGGAACACATTATTGTATTTTACATTAATTTATATAGGAAAAATTGTCACACTTAATGAGTGTTTTGCATTACGAGCAAGATTCTGGAAAAATTATGTTTGTTAAGCAAGATTCCACTGTAGTTAGCTTTATACTATTTTTATATTTCATTTTAATTGTTCTGCACTTTTCAAATGAGAATTAAACCTACAAAATGTTAATATCTAATAAATATACAGTATCAGATTTAACTATATTAAAATATCTTAAATATTTCTCTTTATTAACCAAGAGTACCTGTCTTGGTGCCAGTTACTGTGTAGAGGCCTAAAGGTAATGACTATGACCTGTTGCCTTTTTGTGGTGCAGTGAAATGCAATACTATATACAGAAATAAAACCTGAATAAGCAGGAAAACAGGATGTGTGACATGACTATTTTCATGGAAACAGAAGTGCAAAAGCATAATGCTTACTTTGCTAGTATATCTCATATATCTCATATTACAAAAAAGAACATGTTTGCTATAAATTCCTGGAGCAGAGGCTTCTTTTTATCAGAAAGGTAGCATGTGTAAACATCTTTCTGCTCAGAAAGCAAGAAGTTGTTCATTGATATGCAAAAGAAAACTGTTTAACTTATTCCATAAGAATGGGATTATTATTTTAATCATTATAAGCCCAATCACAAGATATAGTTATGTGTTTCTCATATGCTTAAATTTGTTTCTACTTAACATACAAGCCTTTTTTTGAAAGTGGTGCAAGTCCTCTCGTTGGAAGAAAATAAGTTAATGATGTTTTAGTGATGCATAGATGTTATAAATATAAAAAGAGGACAAAGTCAATGGTGTACAATATCCTCATAAATTAATCAAAAGAAGTTTAACTGTAAAATGTGATCACATTTTTTTTTGAAAATGGAATAAATCCATTCGTAATAATCAATAATTGAAACAACTTTCCTTAGTCTTTATAACTGATAATATGAAAAGTAAATTACTTTGTTAAGTATAAATTCTTATATAACTGAAAATATTTCTTAATAAAGTCAATTATTTATTTACTTACATGTTCTCATTTTAATTATTATTTTTTACATTAAAAAAATAATACAACTTCAATTAAAATATAAGTTTAAAATTGTTATTGTTCATATTTTTCATGATTTGTTATTGAAAGTGGTATAAGTCCATTTTTAGTTAAAAAAAATTAATAAAATTGTTAAAGAAAATAAATTATTACAAGTAATTATTTATTGTGACATCTTCACAATGCCTGACAGCAGTTTTTAATATTTTTAATTTATTTAATTTAAAATATATGCTCTCCACCTCAAATTAGTACTGTAGAGTTTTGCCCCTGTATGGAACATCATACTTTTCCTTTAACAATAGAATCATGCTGGTCATTTATTTATTACTTTCAGGAGAAAACTTTTGAATTGAATAATGTGACTTTTGATTGGATCAGAAGCTTGTATATAGTTTCATATCTGTCTTGTCTTTCATTTAGCTAACTCCATTCTCGAGATTAAGGACACAGACAGATGGTCAGATGACAGTGAGAATTTATAGGTCTACAATTTTTTCAAATTGCAACCCAAATACACAATGAAATTTAATAAGTTTATGGCTTTAAAAACATTACCAGAATTTATTAACGTTTGAATCAACTAAAAGATATTGGCAAATGCAAACCCTTAAATATCTCAATGAATGAATAAGTAGACTTATACTACTCTCAAAAACAACAGCTCATATGTAACATATGAGCTGTTGATTTTGTATCTGGAAAGTGGGCTAGTATAACCTGACCTAACTTTTACTGATATATCCAATAGCTTGGAAGAAAGGAATACAGCAGTAGTGATAATACCAATAGAGAAGGAGCAGAAGTTAAAAATTGTCACTTTTTGCATTTTAGTGATATTTTCAACTAATTCACAACATTGTTTAGCTATTATTGTGTAAGTGGGAGCTTTTAAAAGTCAAATGCACTTTGAAAAATTGTTTAGCTATGTTTTTGCAATGTCTAAGTATAGAATGTACTAGTTTAATTGCTGCTGCTTTTTAAGTTAAAGATAGTGAAGTAGAAAAGAATATGAAATGTTGCCAAACACTAAAAACTTGCAGAAAAAATACTTTAATTTTTGAATAATGGATAATTTGAATTTTCCATAATTCAAACTGTTTTTAATATGGACACAAGGGAGAATTCAAAAGAGTTTGACTGTATTCATAGTTTCTCTAAAATTACCATTAATTGTGCAAAAATGAAGTTGCAATTGTGAATAGTTTCTTTTGGATTAAGAAAAATGAAAGAGGAGGTTTTTTAACATTATTATTTAAAAATACAAAACTTTATTATGTACAGAATTTCTTTTATAATCTCCAATATTCTTGTTTAAAGAATAATTTACAATTTGTTCAAAAATGGAAAATTTGAATGATGTCACTATTTTGTTTATCTTCTATATAAAAATTTTTATTACTAATTTTAATGACAAAAATTGACAAATAATAATTTATTCTCTGATCTGTTTGCTTTATGGATAGTCTAGTTAGACAGCCGATGATCAAGGTAGTTAAGGCATCAACCTGCCACTCTGGGTTAATCTAGGATTGAATCTGAGTAAGTAACCCTGGGAATTTTTCATGAGTGATCTGTCCTGGATACTTTAGGAATCTTGTAGACTGTGATGGACTTTAGGAACTTGTGATGGGTGTGAGGAAAAGGTTCCCTTAGTGCCCACAGAGCAGAAAGTTATAAAAAAATCTGCAGTGTGTTGTTATATCAAAGTTGAATTTTAGAGAAGCTCAGAAAAAATATAAACTGATTTTTTTGCCAGTGGAAAAATATATTTAGAATTTCAAAGTTTTTTTCTTTTTATTTTGAATTAAAATTTTATAAAATTAACACACAGTTTATCAAATGAAATTTATTTGAACTTAAATTTGGTAGCTGTTACTTTTTGGATTAATATTCTAAATTTAATAAATTTACAATAATATATTTTGAATAACCAAATTACTCATAATATTTTCCTCAATTAACCGTTATTATTATTATTATTTAAAAAACTTTTTTATAGATATTGTTGCAGATGGAATTATACCCAATGTGTCAGATTTATGTGCTTCTGTTTTGTATATTCTTACAAAGCAACTTGTAAGACAAGTCCAACGTGCTATTATGTTTTGCAAATATAATAATCTGATACCAGAAAATCGTCAGACTTTGGTTTTTTCTGGTGGCGTAGCCTGTAACGAGTACATCAGATTGGCACTGAATAAATTATGTAACTCTGTGGACTGGAGATTTACTTGTCCTCCTCCTAAACTATGTAATGATAATGGAATCATGATAGCTTGGTATGTATGCTAAATTAATTAATAAAATATTTTATTTTGATTATAAATTATAAAAAATTATATACATTTTATCATTTTTAAACAGGAATGGAATGGAATATTTAAAAGCAGGAATACAAGGAACTGATGCCAAAGAAATTAGCATTACCACCAAGTTAGTTCTTACATATATGTTTTATTTTAAAATTTGTGAGAATTTATTTTACTAATTGTCTATGTAAATGATTTTATAAGGTAGCCCAAAAGTCACTTATCTGCATGTTACAGTCCTAAAAATATATCATAAAGTTGTTTCAAACTATTATTTATGATTCAGTTTGAAAATGATTAAATTGGTTAATTAACTTACCACACTCTATTCAAAAATATTGTACCAGGTTATATCTTGCTTCTGCTATATATTACCTAAATACAAGTGCATGAGAGTATAGGTAATCAATAGGGGGCTGTTTGATGGCATAATTGCCATGCACCCTTGACTCTTTCTCATGGGCCCAAATTTTATGAAATATATTTAAACTGTACCACTTAGTGTTAGAGCATTTCAAAATTAGTACAAAAACTTTTTCTCTGATTAAAATACTCAAAAGAGCAGCAGCTGGATACTGTCAAAAAATGGATGAAAGAACTACAAGACTTCTCTGCATGGTTGCACATGCTCAAAATAGCCAACTGTATAAAGGAAGTAGGTTCTAGGTCAGTGGTTTTCAACCTTTTTTTAACCCATGGACCCCTTTTCCTCTTAATTTTTTTGTGGACCCCGAATAGACCTTGTACAGGAAAAAAAACCTTATATTTTTCACTAATAAAAAAAGAAAGAAAAACATTCAGAAAGGTCACTGTCAAGTGTCATGACGCTGATGGTATAAGATTTTCCTAACAAACCCCGGCTTATATATCTCATTGACAAAAGTCAAAGAGAGATNCATAATTCATGATTCTATTATCAAAAAAATTTCAATTTTACACAAAATTCATTGTTTAAATAATTTTATTATAATGAATTTAATTATTCCAAATTGTTAAATAGTTTAAATAAAAAAAATTTAAATCTCTTATACAATACTTCTGTTAAATAAATTATTTTAATTTCAGAAATTTATAAAACAATTTCCTTGGCATACAAAGTATATTATTTCCATAAAATCTCATTTTATAAATAAAACTGTTGAAAAGATAATTAAGATTCTCCATAATAGTTCCATAAACCGTAAATATTCGTTATTTATTCTTATAGGAAGCTTTTAAAACAAATATTTGTACTATAATAATACATTAGCTTGTTGTCGTTTCATATATAAATTACAATATTCTAGCCATTTTGCACATTTTTCGATCCAATATCATAAAAATTTTCATTGGCAGACAATTTTTTGTAAATATAAATTTGATTGAAAGACATCACACACAATGAAAGTAGTCTGGAAGCTGATTATAAATCATTATAATCAACTAACCATTCATGTAATGCACAAATTTAACTAATAATACATGAATCTTCATTATATGTATATATTTATATATTTTTGAATAATAATTTATACTTCCAAAAACACCAATTCCACTGAGAAAGCATTCAAAATTATAGGACAAATACCTTAAAAGATATATGAATGCACAAAAATCAATAACTAAAAATCTGGCCTTGATTATTACAAAGGAAAAGTGTTAATATTTTATCATGTAAACTTTATCACAACATGATATCAACAACCTTTTAAGGTTTATAACAGTTGCACTAAATAGATGTGTACATCTAAAAATAATTCACATAAAACATTTATGCAAATACAGTGAATAACCTGAAATACAATTAGTTGTTGTATATAGAATTCATTGGATTACGAAATTAAAATCTTATATATTTGTATGATTTACATTTTGATATTCACAGGAGTGTATAAAAGTGAAGTGTTTAAGATTAACAATTGCTCAAATGCAGAATTGGGTTACCAGTACTCGAATTTCAGGTAGTTCACTGTAAACAATGAAATGCATAATTTATTGGAATAAAGTTATATATTTAATTTTCTTTATGAAACAAACAGACAAAAATTATTGCCACATATACAGAAAAAACTACAATAATTATATGCCAACTTACTATCAAAATAATTATTTATATAATGGCACAAAAATTAACATTTAAATATAAATTATTATAATGTGTAACAAAATGTGCATTTGATCTGTTATTATATACAAGAAATAATTATAAACAACTTTTAAAATATCTGAATCAAATGAAACAAGGATGTACAAAACTTACATTTTGATTACTAATGAAATGATCATTAAATCCTGATGATAATCTCTGGAATTACTTTTTAGCACCAATTATCTAGTTTAAATCTTTCTATATGAAATTTATAATAATACAATTATGTAAATTCTTGCAAGCTCATTTGGAATTAAAAAAATCAAAAAGATATTTCATTTTACTGAAATGCATCATGGGTTAGAAATTTCTGGTCGTCTATGACCTCTTCATTTTTATTAATTATCACAGATGTATGTGTGGTGGATGATAACTCGGTGTGATTTTCGTTGGAAATTGATATACCTTGTTCATCACTGTTAGTAAGCTCGCTGCAACTGTGTGTTCGAGTGTATTTTGAATATATAGAAACTTCAATCCGTCTAGAATTACAATCTGTTGAACTGTTTGGAAAGGAATTTGGCCTTGTGCTTGTATCAGTTTGTATATTTTCTTGATCATATTTTACAGTTTCATATCCTGGTTCTGTGAAGTCAATTTCTTCCCTATCTATTCTTTCATAATTTGGATCGCTAAAGTCACTTTCACAATGCTGGACTCTCTCATAATCTGGATCTTCAACATTATGTCGACCTACTCTTTCATAACCTGGGTCTACCTCACTCTCTGCTCTGTGAACTCTCTCATAGTCTGGATCCTCGTCATCTGGTAAGTTTTCATTATGTCTAACACTTTCATACCCAGGTTCCGATTCATCACAGGATGATATCCCATTAAAATCTACACTTTGTGTTACTTTGTAATTATTTGGGCCATTAGAATCTATGTTGTTATTCACTTTAACAGATTCATAATCTGGGTCATCACAAAGACTTCTTTTCACAGCCTCATATCCTGGATCAGTAGCATCACTATCTGATCTTTGAATTTTTTTAACTTCCTCATATCCAGGATCAGAATCTTCTAGCGATCCAGAACAATTATTGATTGATGCATTGCTATCAATTCTTGATTGTTCTATTTCATCTGTTTTCCTATTAGTCCTTTGTTTTAATTTTTCATATGTTGGTTCACCATTTCCATTTTGTGGTTGCTGCCTTATTTTTTCATAAAGAGGATCATCACAATCTTCCCTTACTTTTTCATAATCAGGTTCACTTTCTTCTTTTTTCTGATTTTTAATAGCTTCATATCCAGGTTCGACATTTTCATTCCAATCTTTCGGTGGATAATCTGCTTCAACAGAATGAACTGGAACCGCAGGTACATAGAGATTAGTGTTTGGAAAAAATTCTTCTCCATTTGGACTGCGCGGTATCCATACAGGAGTCGATACATTGAACACATCATCAGAAATGCCTTCAAATTTATTACTGTCATCCGCATCGGATGAACATCTCACTGACTGCACTCGCTTCTTTCGCACTTTAGCATACATATCTTCTATTTTGGTCCCAGCTTCATTAAAATTTAATAAGCTTGCACCCTCTCCCAAGTGTATGGTTTTTCGTTGTTTATTCGATTTATCAACAACTGAGTACAATCCATTCATATCTGTTGGAGAAGGTGCAGATGTCCCTGAGGTTAATACATTTGGCACACAACTTCCACTGGATGATGTAGATGCTATCGATGCTATAAAAATATTTCAGTTGTTAAAATCAATTGTCATTATTTAATATTTTTATGAATAATTAAGATATTCCATAATAATGTGAAGAAGGAAGCAAAATATACATTTGTTCTCTAATGATTTGTTAATTTTATTAAAATATAAAATGTATTAATAATTAATGTTTCATAATAATAATAATATACTGTATAATTAAAAATTATTGNTACATGGACCCCAGATGAGAACTACTGCTCTAGGGCATGATTTACTGTAGTTTATTTTAAAAGAATAGTGTTTTTAATGGAAATACATTTCAAAATTGTAGCTCTTCAGAAGAATAAAGTTGCTTGTTGTGAGCATTTGGGGCCTTTCATAGATGCTTCACACAGTTCTCCAGTTAGTATTTGGATGGTGTTCAGTTACTTCTTGTTTGAGTACTGTAACTGGACAAAAATATACTATATTCTATAATTTTATATTAAAATATTTTGAGATGCTCTATGAATTTGTAAATGACAGTTTAAATAGCTTTCTTGGGAACAAAGACAAGATTCAAGGGTGCATGGTAACTATGCTCTTGAATAGCCCACTATGGATTACCTAACTGAAAAGAGAACAATTCATATATGGTAAGATATTTTTCATCATCTAAATGGTAAATACATTTAAGATGCATTTTCTTGAACATATAGCTAATACTGAAAACATTTATGAATAAGGACTCCTCAGCAGTTACAGAATTCTTAACATTCCCTGAATATTTCATAATATTATCTTTATTTCACTGACACAGATTTCATTTGAACACTAGACTTGCAGAAATTTAATAGAATTTATAATTTAAATAGTTGAAGTGTTGTAATTAGCACAAATAATGTATCAGACAATCAAAATGTTATAAAATTTACATTTATATGTTTTCTATATAATTTTTTATGTTTATTGAAAAGCAAATTTCCAGAAATTCAGTAGTAATAATTATAATTTAAACAATTTGTTTCTTGTTAGATTATGAATTATTTGAAATTCACAAAATCTGAAAATAAGATAGGCACTTGTTGGTTCAATATTATGAAGTTTGGTTAATTTATAATGCAAAAGTAAGTAAAAATCCTGAGCAGTTTTTTAGTTGATCTACATCAAATCTACAATGTATAGTATTGAGAATGATTAAATGTAAAAATCTTTTCATCAGTAAAACTTATCAAAATGTATGCACATTTTTAAAAAATCAGAGCATCATTTACTATTCATTTATAAAGAACTTTAGGAGATTCTACTATATATTTTACATAATGGAATTGCTTATACTGATACTAATACCTCATTAATGTAGATAAGATTACAGTTAGAGTTAGTAAAACCAGAACTTTCACTATTAAAAGACTATGTTAAAATAAACAAGTAAAATGGCAAAACTATTCTTGAAACAAGACTATGTCTTGGAGAGCATGAGTAATGCATGCGCAAATCTCGCACTTGTGCCTGTTTGTAGAAAGTCTCAGCATTTTGTTTTTTATTTCGATCTGGTTCTTGGTCCCCTGACTACCTACAAGTCTGGTTTAATTTGTGCATGCATGATTTGGGCACCAAATATTGTGCCAAATTGCAACTCCTGATATGCACTCCTTCATACCTCTAAGGTGTCCATTATATTGACAGCAGCATGATTTTAGAAATGAGACATAGCATAAATTAATAAATAATTGATGAGACTAAGTCATACAGTTAGCCTGCTGGTTTTTGCAGTACCATTTTTAACAGTAACTAGCATAAAAATATCAATAATTTAAATAATCTGTGCTTTAATCAATATTTATAATAAAGGCAAGTGTACAATGTGTGTACCGATAAAACTCAAAAATGAGTCCTGGTACGATCAAGGGAGTTATATGGTGTGGTAGCCCTCTATCCCCCATCAATGAAGAAGGTTCCCGTTTTTACCTGAAGGGTGTGCTGTTGAAGATATAAAGGCTGGAAGTTTTGCCCTCTAGAAATTTCTAGAACAGTCCAGAACATTCGAGAGTATTCCACAACATTCCAGAATGTTCCGGGATTTTCTGGAATGTTCGGGAACATACCAGTTCATTGTTCAACATTCCAGAACACTCTCGAATGTTGTGGAATGTTTTGGAACATTGTGGACCATTCAAAGTCTTTTTTTGTATGGGTGGGACTACCCATTGGTGGGGTATATAAAGCAAGATCCATCGTGGTTTGAATGTCAGTTTCTTATCAGTGACAAAGGGAAGAACCAAAAAAAAGAAGTGAAAATTCCATAGTGCAGTGAATGAATAAAAACAAACAGTGAAGTGTCAGTAGTCAAAGTGATACAGTGACTGAATAATTGAAAATAAAGTGTGAAAACTGTATAAAGTGTACTTAGTGTATTTGTTAATAAATAGTTAATTTGATTTATATTTTATACAATGCCCAAACTTAAAAGAGGAGGAGCTCTTGCCAGTTCTGAATTTTCTTTTGAATATTAAAGTTGATATCATCGACAATATTATTTTTAGTTGCCAAAATTGCCCTTTGAAATAGCCACTCCGAATAATAAGAAGCATCGCAGAGCCCAAATGGTTAGGAGTTGAAGGTTGAAGGTTGAAATTTGGTATGCAGTTAGGGTGCATCATGAGAACAGAACATACACTAAGAACGGATTTTTCGAAATTCCCCCCGCCGGGAGAGGTTGTTAACAATGAAGTGTTAACAATGGAAGTGCTTAAGTAACAATTAAAGTGTTAAGAGAAAGTGGTGTGCAAGATTTACAGGCACAGATGTGTTTTTTGCGTTTTTGCAGGAAATCTAACATATTTTTAGACCCATGTAAAAATTCTCTAATTAGTCTGGAAATGGTAGACCTAAGTCTTGCATTCTGTGAAAACAGGTAAGATTGGCTATAATGTTGAACTGAATGTTAGAGTTGAACTGAAGAGGGACTTAAAATACAAATAAGTCTGAAATGCATATGACAAACCAATAAAAGTACTACCTAACCTGAAAGCTGTATATGATAGTCTACCGAAAACTGAATTGATCGGATTAAAGAGAGACATTCGCAATGAAATAGCAGCTGCCATAAGTAATTTTTTGAAAATTTTTGAAGGTTATTAAATAAACTATTTTGTAAAGAAGCCCAAAGAACAATATTCATTATAATTTTGACATGTACACTTAATCAATTTAAAGAAGTTTTAACAATGAAAAACTCAAACATATACATAATGTAGTGAAAACTATATATTCATAAGCAAAATTATTTGTGCATAACACTGTGTTACTTCATTTAAAATGAAATTTTCTTTAAATCAAAAATGTATCTATAATTATCTATATATAATTCAAATTAATTTAACTTAGAAATAGCTGAACATTGGGCAGGTTTCTAAAGGCAATTATGTCACTTTTAAATGCAAATTAAGACTTAATGTAAATGAAAATTATTAATTTAAATAACTATTATTGTAACCTGTTGCTATTTTAAGGAACAACAATACTGTTTTATTTGATTCACAATAAATACAGACAAAAGAATTAGATTAATTGGCGAGTAATATGGAGATAGAATTCTTACAAACACAACTTGAAATCATGCGATTTTTTCTGTAATTGTGTCATAGGTTCAAGTATGCCGCGAGATAAAAAAGGTTGAAAAACACTGAAATAGCTATAGTTTTTGAAATTCTCATTAATTAGTAATTGTTTAGATTGGCTTTTCTGTAACAATGTTTTTTATTTTTTACAATAAATTTCAAGATTATATATTTTAATTTAAAAAATTTTAAATCAATTATAAATTATAATTATTTCTACCGTGTTTCCCCGAAAATAAGACAGTGTCTTATATTAATTTTTGCTCTCAAAGATGCGCTAGGTCTTATTTTCAGGGGATGTCTTATTTTTTTTTATATATATTTTTTTGATTTATTTTATTTGACGTATATCCGGTCGTGTCGAACTGAACTTACGAAGTTCCCGTGCTGGAGAGGACTTCCCACACTTGCTTCAACTTGACCTTTTCATAGCGTCGACATAGGGCTCGATGACCAATTAGTGCTTACTGAACCGTAGCACTATGCAAATGTGATGGGGCGTGATTCCCGGCCGACCAATTAGCGATCACCAGCCGTAATGTTATGCAAATCTGTGATTTCCAAGCCATAGTCTTATGCAAATCATGCCGCATGACGTGATTGTCTGCTGACCAATCAGTGGCTGTACTTTCAAAAAGCCAACGGCCACTTTCAACCATCTGTCGATGACCATTACGACTAAAAAAGAACTTTGCTAGATCTTACTTTCAGGGGGAGGTCTTATATTTTGCAATTTAGCAAAACCTGTGCTAGGTCTTATTTTCGGAGAAACATGGTAGTTCTCACAAAAATCATAGTTTAAATCTCTTAGTGGGTTATTTATAATTACATTACAGTCTTATTAATATTGCCAGATGGCCAAGCTGTTGTTTCTATTGGTTAGAAGTTTGTACAATAGAAAACACCCTGTAGAATGCAATTTCATCTATGATTATTAGCTTGTACCAAGTGCCAGTATGAGAATTTTTATTCAAGGCTGACATTGTTCTTCATGACAAGGCTGACATATATATATGTAGGCAGTTTGAGTTACATCAAGCCGTAGAAAGGGATCTCCTTTGTAAGTCGAATTTCATAGTAAGTTGGTTCTTAACAAATTAAACAATTTATAAAATGACACACTGCCATCAGTAGAATCAACTTTACACTTGAGAGCCATAATAGAGGGCAAAAAGATAAGAAACATTATAAACTAACGTGAGAACAATGTACCACAATGGTGCTCAATGTCTTCCTATGATGTACTGAACAACAATAACAAAAAGTAGTTCCAGCTTGCATCCTGTACTACACCGCTGACATTGTGTCGTAACTTCAGGTCACTGTATGTCAGAACCAGATTTATTATGAATAGTGTCATAAGATCAGATTGGCATAAGTTGGGTGCATTATAACCTGGGAACCACCTGTATATATATATATAGTGTATATAGTG